TTTATGCTTGAATGCAAAGCAATGTGGATTCCCTCCACAGAAGGATGCTAGGCTCTTCCCTGTGTGCCCGCAACAGGATTCAGCTGTCCCACCCACGCTTCTCAGTCGGATACACAAAAGGCCTGGTCTGAGTTTTCTTTTCATAGTCTTATTGGTCTGGCCTGCTCCTTCAGGGCAGACCACATTTAAAAATTCAAGTATGTTGCACTGTACCTTGCATGGCACTCTTCATTATGTCTTTGCATTTTTTTTTATGTCTGTATTCCTTGACTCACCTAAGGTCAGAATAATGCCTGCTATCAATGCCAATAAATAAATGCAATGTTACATGCTTTCCTTATTTTCTCCATGTTATTTCTACATCCCTCCAAGGTTGGCAGGGCAGACAGTCCTGTGGGGATGCTACCTAAATGAACCACTTGGGGTCCAGGAAGAGGGATGCATCCTTAAAGGTTCCCAGGGAGTTGGCAGAGCTTGGACAAAATTCTGGGCAGGTGCTTGCTTTGTTGGTCCCCTTTGGTATCCAGCAGCAAGCAGTCCTGGCTCCAATCAAACCTCTGCCTGCACCTGAAAGCATCAGGAAGTGCAGTGTGACATTACCTCATGGTTAGCGAATCGGATATCCCGAGAGAATATGGTGGCCACCCAGTCGCAGCCTAGTTTGACATCAATGTTCTGGGCTAGTTTCTCCAGGGTGGGTAGGTGGCTGGCTTGGAAGTGATAAGCCAGAGTAACGTGCAGCTGCTTCTTATGAGGTTCCACATGTACTTCTGGAAAAAGGGAGAAAAATGTTAAGTGATTAGATGTGGCAATCATAGCAATGGTAGAGACTTAAGAACCAGCACATAAAAGTGTCCTGATAATTTCTGCTCCCTAAATAACAAAGGAGGTAGATCCTTGGTTAGACAAAAAGCTAGTTTTCTTTCATAGCAGCAGAAAAAGGGAAGTGGGTCACAGATCCTGATAAACCACTAACCAGGAGATAAACGGTCCATATAGATGGCTTTTGTGTAAGCTCTATGGATTGGCGGAGGGGTAATCCTTTTTGGCTGGCTGCTGTTACACGTTAACGTAGCCATACTGTTAAGTAAATAAAAGCATGCAGATTGTAAGCCACTCTGAAAGCAAAAGAAACCTACTCACACGAGGGAATAGCTTTTATTTCTTTTTTTACACTTTTAGCAAGGGAAAATCATCTGCTTTCCAAGACAGAATGATGAAGAATGAAGAAGGTGGGCCGGTGATCTAGCTCAGCGGTTCTGTGACCTGCCTTGCAAGCGCAAGGACCAGAGTTCAATCCCCGGAACAAAAATAAAATAAAATAAAATAAAAATAAAATAATAATAATAAAGAAGGAATTCGAAAAATGAAGGCGCTTGGTCCTGTCACATGGGAGAATTAGTGGCCAAGCTAGAAGGAGAGCTGGTTCCTAGGGTTTCAAGTACCTTTTCTGTTAGCCCCTCCGGATCTCTGGAGGAAGCCCCAGGAGACAAGGCACTTTCTCCTTGTCCACACAACTCCCCCACTCAGATGTCACACAGGATTTCAGTAGTTGTTGAATAAATGAGCGTGCACGAATGAGTCTCCTTAAACTACCTGGGATAGACAATAATAATCTACTGGCAGGAGGAAGTGTGGAGTGCTGATAACTAAGATACTAAGGCACAAGTTCCAGGGCAAAGAGGTGATGCCCTACCTGTTCCAGCTACACCTAGCCCGGCCACGCATTTCCCCTAATCACCACCAGGGGGTGTCACGCAGGCAGAAATCCCAACTCCCAGGCGTTCTTGGAGAGTGACAGCAGATTCTTAGAGAGGGACTGGCTGCCTCCCATTTCCACATGGAAATCGAGGCCTGACCGCCTCTCATTCCATATGCACTCTAAGAATCTGCCGCAGTCCTGGCTGGGGACTGCATTTCTGATTTGTGAAGGAGTTGGATTTTGTGGCTACCACATTAGCTTGGGTTCTTATGGGGATTTAGTGGTTCTGACAATAGCTACTGTGGAAGAGGGAAAAAAGCCATTTCCTTGAGGTCTAAAAACAGGAAATAATTTGGCCCTCTGTCACCCTGTTTCTCTGAAATATTCAGCTTGTGTGAAATATCAGGCTGCACCAAAGCCAGCATCCCAAGGTTGGTCCCTAGGAGAAAGGGGTGCCTTAAGGAAAGGGGTGCAGACTAAGGGGGCTGCCACACAAAGTAGGAGGAAGTGAGCCAAACACTTTAACACAGAGCTCCCAGAAAGTGTTTTAAGGGCTCAGAGCTCCTTCTGAGAGCAGAGATGCATTAATATTCTGTGGTGATCTCTGATCTCACTCTTCCTGGATACTGAGCCCCATGTGAGATTTTTCTGGTAAAGAGGAACATGGAGCAAAAGGGTCTGGACTCATACTGAATCAGCAATGATAACAATGGCAGATACGCAGGGCAATGTGGCTCATGCCTGTAATCCCAGCCCTCAGGAGGCTGAGGCAGGAGGATCGCTGTGAGTTCGAGACCAGCCTGGGCTACACAGTGAGTTCCAGGTCAGTTGCAACTACATAGTGAGACCCTGTCTCAAAAAAACAAAAACAAAAACAAAAAAAACCCCCAACAAAACAAAACAAAAAACAAAAACAAAAATCAATGGCAGATGAGACACAGCTGAAGAGCAAAAAACCCTGGAGCAAACTGCATGGCTTTACTCAGCTCCCTCCCTCCCTGGATCCCACAAAATGTGGAGTTGGCAAGAGTGGTGTCTCCTCCAGCTTTGCATCCAACACTCAGCCTGACTGTGTAGCTCAAACCCTCCCTGCTCCCATCACAGTCTCTCCTGGCAGAGCTCCTGCCACCTGCTCCCCTGGAAGGGCCCTACCTCCATTGTCCTGATCAATATCCCCAGCTGCCTGTCTTCCCTGAAGATGCCACCTGCACCAGCCTCACTTTTCTTGGCGCTCTTACCACAGTGCACAAGTCTGGCTTTCTAACTGTGCTCTGGCTTTTCTTCTTTCTTTTTTTCTCTCTGGGGATTGAACCCAAGACCTCTACACTGAGCTACATCCCCAGCCTTATTTTATTTTTTGACTTGAGTCACAGTCTGCCGAAGTCATTAAGTTGCCCATGCTGGGATTAAACTTGACTCTGCCTTCCAGAGTGCTGGGATTGCAGGTATGTACCACCTACTTCTTATTCTCTTCTTTGTAGAACCTTTTCGATAAACACATAATTGGTGTCTCAAAACTACCAGCTGACAGGTAGGGAGCAACAGATGCCCCTGCTCTTGGATCGTCTGTCTGTGCTGTGGCCATACAGTGGAGTACTGCAAACACCCCCCCCTCTTGTCTGCTCCTATCCCAAACATCCATGTGAGTAGACCCTGCTGCTGGACATCTCAGTTAGCTTGAACTAGAGCTGTCATAGGCAGAGCTGGAGACCAGTCAATAGGATTCCACTTTTGGACAGAATTTTGAGGATTCAGGACCTCTCTAATGGAAATAAGCAAGTTGAACGGTCTTGGCTCATTGGGTTTTCTTATGATTTATTATGAAGTGGAACACAGTAAACATTGAGACCCAGATAAACACTTCTGTGGGTGGGATGGGAGTGAGCAGGAAGCAAAGCAGGCTCCCAAATTCTGAACCAGAGTGCTACAAAGGCTTCATCTATAGTTCAGTGCTGCTGGGCATCTCATCCAGGGTCTTAGGGAATAAGCAGTCTCTTCAGGAAGTCAGCAGCACAGCAAAGCATCAAAGGGACGTACGTAGGCCATTTCTGGCCCTGTGTGCCTGCTCCTGAAGTGCCCTTTACCTTCTGTCCCCAGCCTGCTTCTCCACAACTGTCATGGCTTGGAGATGAAATGTTCCCACAGAGGCCACATGCTGAGTGACAGCTTGGTCCCAGCAGCTGTGAAACTGGGAGGTGGCAGAGCCTTTAAGAATAGGAGCCCAGTGGAGGCAGTGGGATCACTGGAGTGGACCCCACTCCAAGAGGGTATTTGGACTCTGGCCGTTCTTACCTTTGTTCCCAGCCACCACCTACCCTTTCTTACCCAGACGTTTCCCAGTCTGGTTCTCAGGGCCCGGTCTGGGCTCTGTGTGCTCACCGGTTTTGGACGCAGCCTCAGCAGCGAAGTCTGCAGCAAACTTCTTGAGGACCTCTGCACTGTCCTCCTTCACAAAGAGGCCAATGAAGTTGGAGGAGGTGTAGAGCTCCAGGGGCAGGGGTGCCGAGAACTTGCACTTCCAGCGGCTGACAGTGGTCTGCAGGGCCTCCCCCAGGGCATCCACCTTGCTGTCCTCACACTGGTGGGGGGATGAGCAGACATCACTCAGAGACCAGGTCACGAGGCTCTGCTGCCCCTTAACACTGGATATACTTTCCCCAGGGACTGGAGGCTGATAACAGTGATTTATTTACTCAACCCTCACTCCTGCGGGGAGGCTGGAGGAGAATGGCCAGCCCCCAGCTAACCAGATGCAGAGTCTCCATCTGGCAAACGGAACACGGAAGGTATTACCTCTTCCCTTTCCCCCTGGCTGAGCCCCACCAAAATGCAGGACAGCAGGACAGGCTTAGCAGGTAGCAATACTGAGGTTTGGGTTTGGGTCCCAAATTTCAGTGAGAGAAAAAAATAAATTCAAGAGAGCTACTATACAGCATGATAACTGCAGTTAGTAACAATGTAATGCATATATGAACATTGCTGAGAGAGTAGATTTTAGGGCTGAGGATGTAGCTCAGTAGTAGAGCACGAGCCTAGCATGCACAAGGCCATGGGTTTGATCCCCAGCACTGAAGAAAAAAAAAAATTAAATGATTTTAAATGTTCTCATCACACATCAATAAGTACACAAGGCAATGCATATACCGATTAGCTTGATTTAGCCAATCCTCTATGTACACATATATCAAACTATCATAAATAAATGTAATTTTTAAAAAACAAAGACATTTTCTTTGCTTAAAAACAGAAAACAAAAAGAAAAGCAGAGAAGAACACGATGAGAGAGTACAGGATAAACTGTTGTTGTTTTCTACTGTTTGGCATGATGTGTACCTTTCTGTTTCCTTTAGACAATCATTGTGGGCTGTACATCCGCCCCCTGGTGGCTGGGAAAAATGAGGCTGGGAGCCGTGACATCATCCTCCCGCCCTCAGTGCACAGAGGGAAGATGAATGTCTCAAACACTCAGTGTTTTTGAGAAAGCCTGTATGACTAAGAGGAAGTGATAATCACTTTAATTCTCAAAGTGAATGGCAAAAGAAGTTGTTACGATTTTTTTTTTTTTTTACAAGAGGAGAAACAATCTGGAAAACAACCAAAGCAAAATATATTTTTAAAAAATTTGTCTTGCTGGTGATGCACACCTATGATCCTAGACTGAGGCATGAGAACTGCAAGTTTAGGCCAGCATGGGCAATGTAGCAAGATCTTGTCTCAAAATAAAAAATAAGAAAAGGACTGAGGGTGTAGCTCCATGCAAAGGCCTTGGGTTCAATCCCTGGAACCACCAAAAAAAAAAAAAAGTCTTACAATGCTACTATTCCACTTGTCTTGAAGATGTGACTAAGTCAATTGTACTTGATGTCATAGGAAGCTATACAGATATATTTATTACTGGGAGAGGATTTAATTTGGTTGCTAAATAATTTTCCTTCCTACTTTCCTTCCATCCCTCCCTCCCTCCCTTCCTTCCTTTCTTCATTCCTTCCTTCCATGGCACTGGGATTCATCCCAGGACCTTCCCACGGAACTACACTCACAACCCATTTTTTATTTATTTTGAAGCAGGAAGGGTCTCAATAAATCACTCAATTGCCCAAGCTAAGCTTGAAATTGGGATCCTCCTGCCTCAGCCTCACTGAGTTCTGGGAACATGGGTGTGCACCAGCATGCCCAGCTTAAACCAGCTTTCTGACAGCTATGATTATGGACTAGAACAGTGGCAAGTGAAAGATAAGCTTTACTTTCTCCAGGAAGATCTAGTGAAAGCCTCACAGACAGTCAAGAGGCTGACACAGCCGCTCCTGTTTATAGACGGCCACCTCATTCCCTCTTTCTTCTCTTCCCTTGTAAGAGCGGAGAGGGGAGACAGTGCACAAGGGTGAAGCCACCTCAGTGACTGTTCCAGCTGCAGGCCAGTGCGCCCCCACAGAGGGTCAGGCTTGTCCCCGGGCCAGAGGAGCACGGTCATCACGAAGCCACGGCCGACCTGGGCACTCCTGGGCCTCCGCAGATAAAAAGCAAGCGGAGCTGAGATGAGACCATCCCGATCCCTGACCTTTCGCAGACTTCCCAGTGTCCCCAGCCCTCCAGGTCTGAGGGGGCCGGTGGGGCCGGTGGGAGCCAGGCTGCGGGTGTGGGGGGGGGCGGCAGCTCACCATGAAGAACTGGCAGAGGGTGATATGGGGGAAGATGTTGTGAGCCTTGTTCTTGCCGCAGATCTGCTTCGACTGCTGCCAGAAGTCCGAAAGCTTCTGCGCTAAGGGACCGGTGGGGCGGAGGTAGAGGACGTACTCCCGGGGCAGGGGGTCATCCAGGAAGGGGTCCCCCACGTGGGAGAACAGCCTGGAACAGAGAAGAGAGCCCGCAGGGCCTCGCTGGAGAATAATGGAAGGGAAGCAAGAGCAGAAAGAGACTGACCCACCCCTGCTTCTGCGCTAAGGGACCGGTGGGGCGGAGGTAGAGGACGTACTCCCGGGGCAGGGGGTCATCCAGGAAGGGGTCCCCCACGTGGGAGAACAGCCTGGAACAGAGAAGAGAGCCCGCAGGGCCTCGCTGGAGAATAATGGAAGGGAAGCAAGAGCAGAAAGAGACTGACCCACCCCACGCATCCCCCGCCCCGGAACCAGGAGGAAGGGGTTCCTCAGAGCTGTAAAATACCACCCTTGGAAGTTCGAGCCCCGCGCCCCGCAACCAGCGCTCTCACAGGTACCCACTTCTGTCCTCCTGTGTCTTGTCTCCCTTTACCGTCTTATCCCACAACTCCCTTTAAAAACCCTGTAGCTGCTGTCCAGGAAGCATCTCGGATTAACTCCAAAGCTTTTCTCCATCCGGAAGTACTATTCCAACGCATCCGCCCCTCAGTTCCATCTCTGAGACTCAAGCACCCACAAAGAAAGGGAAGCCCCCCGCAATGCTGTGGGGTCCCCCTAGGCACAGGCACCTGAAAGGAAGGTGGGATCTTTTTCTAAATGGATTTGCCTGGCATCCACGCACCTAAAGTGAATGGGGTGGGGTGGGGTGAAATTCTGGGAATCGAACCCACAGCCTTTGAACCAAACTATATCCCAGCCTTTTTGTTTTGCTTTATTTTTTGGTACCGGGATTGAACTCTGGACCTTGCGCGTGCAGGGCAGGCAGCAGCACGAGTGAGCTAAATCCCCAGTCCAGTTTTCTTAAATTTCTTTTTCTTTTTTTATTTTGAGAGTCTTCCTACATTGTTTAGGCTGGGCTTGAATTCGAAGTCTTCCTAGTCAGCCTCCCAGAGTGCTGGGATTACAGGTTTTTGTACCGTAAGTGGCTTAAAGTGAGTCTATAAGGGACTGAAGGGAGGCAAGTATTCTGAAAGGGTCTATCTGCAAATGATCTGAATGTCTCTAAACAGCTCCAAGGACAACCACACCCTGGGGGCCAGCAGAGAGGGAACTGACTTGATAAGTGGCGTTGTCACCTGGCCTCAGGCTCATCTCCTCCCAGGAAGGGTCCATTAGAGAAAGACTGCACAGCCCCTCTCATCCCCAAGCAGTCAGAGTTGATTATATGCTATTTTCTCAGTTTATTTATTTCATACCAACCAGTCACATGCTGCCTGAACACTTCTCCCTCCAGTGGATGCCAAGGCCTTTTGTCTGGAAGAAGAAATCAAATATCTATTGTTAGTATTTTTAGCTTCTTCTCAGCTTTTCCCACTGCAGCAGCAAGAGTTGGGTGTGCAGGAGGCGACGTCAGAAACCATGCTTGGCTCTTTCCTCCAAGGGTCATATGGAGGCATGTGGAAATTAGGACTTGCCATTAATTTCAGAGAAATTAGCATTGGATTTGCACGCAGCCTAGCATCCCATGCAGTCTATTTTCAGCACTTTCCACATTAGAATTTTATTTTTGCTTCCCTACAAATGATCGCATCTTGGTTCCTCCTCCCCCCTTCTCATCCCATGACTTTCACTGACCCAGATCCCCTGCAGAGTGGATTCTTGTTTTTGGCCCCTCGGCAGGGTGGGTGTGTATCACTGTCTCCAACCACTGCCACCACCACCACGGCCCCAGGCTGGATCCATCATCCCCAACCACTTCACAGATCTACGGACAAATCACACTGGGTACAAGAGGATGACCAAAGCAATGCTCTCATCCCCACTTCTGGAGAAACACCTCGAAGCTGTCCTAATGATGGGTGAGTATCCACAGGATGGTTATGGCAGCGAGGACCTTCACCCAAGCTTACAAGTAGAGCTCTTCTAAAACTTTAGATATGTCTCCAAGGGCCAGAGTTTTGGGTTCTTATCCAGTTTTTCTACTCATCCATTTCTTCATTCAGGCACGCACTCACACTGACACTTTGTAATTATCTAGGACCTCAGCTGTTTTGTCAGCACTGTGCCAGCCACAACATAGAACAAGATGTATATGGTCCTTACAAGGACCTCATGCAGATTTCAGTTGCACAGGCTCATGAAAACATCAATCCTACAACTAATTATTTAATCACACTGGTGGCAAATGCAGTGTTGAAAGGGCACAGGAAGCCATGATGACACAGGGCAGGGAGATCTAGGCTGGGCTCAGATCAGGGAGCCACAGAAGGGGCACTTCAATTGAGCCCTGGACAGTGCCTGACACTTCCTAGGCAATCTGTAAGGGATCATTCTGTCACCTTTATGCTACACTGATTCAGGGTCTTTGATAAGGAAAGAAAGGAAGGAATCCAAATTAAATTACACTCCATCCAAGCCTCTCTTCCTGTAGAACCAACCCTTCTTTCCTTGTGCTGCTTCTCTGTGAACAATCAGAGAGCCTGGTGCTGTGAAAACCTCAGGATCAGGAGGGAAGGGATCTCAGAAGTGACATGTGAGTCCAACTTCTTACGCAAGGGAAAACTCAGCCTTGCTCAGGTAATGGCTGCGTGAAAGCCTGACTCTGCCTCCTCTGCTCCCAGGAGAAAGTCAGTTTAAACACCTTCCTCTCCCATGAAAATCTAAGCACAGATACCCAAGGATCAGGGTAAAGAAGTCTGCACAGCTAATGAGAACAGCACTGTGAAACACCCTATTTACAGCAAGACAAAGTTAAGGTGGAGCAAGATGGATCCCTTGGGTGCCCGCGGAGCAGAAGTTGGCTCAAGAAAGGCTGGAAGCACAGACATCACACTTGTCCCATACCCTGCAAGGTGCCCCTGCACTGTAGCCTGTCTGCTCCCTTCCTGCTTATCGGACAGAGGACAGCCACCCTGCTTTTGCCAGCAGAGAAGCTATGTACCCACGAAAGCAAAGCAGTCACGATCTGTTACAGGTTATTCACCAGAAAAGGACCCATTGTTTCAAAAACAATTGGGAAAGGGAAAAACTCATTTGTGGTAAGGCTGGTGTGCTATTTATATAAAGCATCTCATTTCTTTTTCCCATGTCCTTCCCCCCATGAAATACATCTAAGTGAAATTTAATTTATTGCTTCGGAGGAGCTGGGAGAATCATCTGGAAATGAAAGATTTAATTAAGTTATAATTTCTGTAACTCAAAAGGTATGTTTTGGAGAAGGTTCAAGGACAAAAATTGAGGAAGGTAATTAAAGGGTTGGGTGTGATAAAAGGTTAGGAAATCCAAATTCTTTCTTTCTAAAGAAGACAAGTCTAAGGAACCTTTAATTTTGTGGAAGGTTATTGTATTTCACACACTCTCTTTAGAGAGGGTCAGCCCAAATAAGTGTTGGCTACAGCACAGAGGGCTCAAGTGAGCTGCCAGAAAGGACTTTCTGGAAGTAATGTGGTCTGAAATTTTTAAAAGTTACTACTAGAAAGTAGTTATCTGAAACAGAAGAGTGGAATTCCCTAGGCAAGAGGCGGTGAGAGAAGTAAAATCCCTTTCTCCTTACTGTTGCCCATGACAGGCATGCCTGCAGTCTCTTTACCCACCTCCAGGCTGGCCACGATTTGGGTTGAGTGAGTTCCCAGAGCTCTGCCCACAGAACAGACTGAACAGGGGAGTCAGGAGAATGAGGCTGCCCCCCACTCTGCGGAAGAGACGCTGTTGCCATAGGGTGCCACCCCCACGGCCCACCCCAGGGGCCAAAGCCAAGGGCAAGTGGGAGTGAGTGGGGTGGACCCTGAACCCCATGCCCAGCCCCGACATGTGCTATTCTCAGGGTGACTCAGAAGTTGGCACAGAGGGTGTATTTCAGAGGCCACCTGAGACCTTGAACAGGTGGAGGAGCACCTCTAAGCTGAAATGCTGGTGGCCTTGCCATTGGATCGCAGCAAGGACTTCAGGCGATGAAGGACTCTCTTGGCTAGAATCAGTAAGATAAGTAATGGATTATTGAGGCTCACTCACATGCAGACATAAACTTGACTTCTGATCTGGTCCTAATTTTGCCAAACAAGTCTTGAGTTCATTGGTAGCAGCACTGTATTAAAAAAAGTGATGTAAACTCCTGCCAACCACGGATGGGGCAGAGCAGCACAGAGAAGACAAAACGACAAATCAAAAAAACCAGGGGAGCAGCTGTAGAAATCAGCCACAAGGCGTGGAGCCAGCACACCACCCAGGGCCCCGCTGCGCTCTGCTGGGATTCCTCTACCACCTGCCCTCAGTCCTGGTGACGTTTGGACTTCAGGTTGGACTGGCCCCAGTGTCAAAAATGCTTTCATGCCTCTGAAAGTTTGGGAAGGACACACCCCTTTCTTGCCAGTTTGCCTGATAAGCAGCATCCCTTCCTCCCATCCCTTCCCTCTTCTCTCCCTCCTTCCTTCCACTCCTTCTTCCCTCTGCCTTCCTTTTTGCCCATCCTTTCATTCTCTTCTTTCCCTTTCCTTCTTAGGGAACTCTTATCAAGAAACCAAATGAAAACCAAAAACTAAACCAAGACTCTGTGATGTGTCACTTTTGGATTGGTGGGCACACGTCAGGGACAATAGCTTTGCGTCCCCTTAGCTAATTCATGCTGGAACCATTGCCAGCTCTGGCAGGATTCTCATTCCTTCTCAGCATTGCAGACAGGAGCCTGCCTGGGCTCTCCTGGTTGATGTCAGGCAAGGTGATTCCCTAGGGCTGAATGGTTATCTGGGGTCCCATGGCTCTGACACTGCCTCCCTAGTCAGTCCAGTTCCTCTCCAGGGAACGCTGGCCAGGTTTGTGGGTCTGGACCACCACTGGTACACAAAAGGAGGAAAGCATGGGACTTATTCCCAGAGGGTCATGCAGGGAAAGAAAGAGGCTCACGACAGCTTCTTACTATGTGATAAGGGAAGGGACAGGACGGAAAAGTGCAGTGTCCTAAGTAAGGCAGCTCAGAAGAGGGTACCCAACTCTGCAGCACAGAGTTCCTTGGTACGAGGCTCTCAAATTGTACTCCAAGCTACACTAGGTTGGAACAGCATGGTAAACTCAAAGAG